TTCCCCATTTCCAAGCCATAGAGCCAGCATTTGTCTGTAGACAGTTTCTGTGGTCACGTGGCCAGCGCGACTAGACACGGTGGGAATGCTGTTACCTTCCCACTGTGGTACCTATTTATCTACTCATATTTTACATGCTTTCGAACTGCTAGGTTGGCAAGAGCTGAGACAAGCGACGGGAGCTCACTCTGTTGCATGGATTCGATCTTACGACGGCTGGTCTTCCGACCTTGCAGCACAGAGGCTTCTGCGGTTTAACCCGCAACGCCCCCACGTCCCTAGAACTACGCTTACTTTTGTGTAATCTTGGGCACCTCAGAGCCTTCTCCTCGCTCTTCCTATCACCTAATAGGTTCCACTGTGAATGGGCAGACCCTTCCCCTTCCTGAGACTCAAACCAACAAGAGTGCAAACATCATGACCTAGCAATAAAGCTCTTTCCACCTCCTGCATGACATTTGCATGACAAAAAAGTGCCGATCGTCTCAAATGCGGGGACCACTTTTTCTGCTCTTAGGTGGGCCCCGAAAAGAAAACAGAAACAAAAACTTGGATATGCATTTTGGAATCCCCCCCCCAGTATTTCTACCTTTTTGTACGGGTCCCTTATCTGTTTACAATTTGGGTGATGATCATGGGTCTTGTGTTCCCTTCTTCCTGTCGATCTTGCTGTTTTTGCTGTGGCATGTTTCATGTGCGCTCTGTTTTCCTATCCCCAGGGAAGAACGTCTCCGACAGGAAGAAATTGCTGAGAGAGAGCGCCTGTTGAAGGTTGCCCAAGTGCGAGCCGCCACTTTGGAAGAATTCATGAAGGAGAAAGAGAAAGAGGTGCTCCAGCTGCAGGTAAGGGTCCCGGGCCTGTCCCCCCTGCTTTCAAGGGCGACGGGTGGCTTCTTTTATGGCTCAATGGTTCTTTATTTATTTATTCGCATCAGAGCAATTGCACAGTTCAGAATCGGGTGCACACGAAATACAGATAAAATTTAAAAACACAATTCAAATGTTAAGACTGAAGATGGCCATGATCCGTTGGTTTTGCTCTTTTCTTTTCCCAGCCGGGCAGCTGATCTGTGATCAGCCGTTCGGCTGGGAAACAAATTGCATCAAACCAGCTGTTTGTGCCCATTTCAAGTCAAGACGGTCCAGCTGCTTTTGGCCAGAGGTGGTCAGAGCTTTAAATGTGTATATGTGTGTGTTTAACCCCGTGCTTGGTTTTGATCCTGCTGTGAATCCTGCTGAGTCATAGTTCTGGCCGAAAAGGAGGGTGCAAGTCAAGTCGACACCATGAAATAGCTGGTTCGCTAGGTCTTGAGCTCTTCTCTAATACGCAGCAAGGATGAAGGGGTTTGGAAATGTGTTTATCCGAGCACATTGGGATGCTGGTTTCCTCTTGTCGTTGCAGGAGGAAGCCAAGAACTTCATCACTCCAGAAAACCTGGACGAGCGGATTGAGGAGTGCCTGAACAGCCTGAAAAACTACAATTTTGCCATTGATAAAGAAGGAAGGATAGTCAAACGGAGCACCTTGTCTTAGGGACAGTGAAGACGACGGGAATGGGAGCCTCTTGGATGACCTCTGCTGGAGCAGTGAACTCTCGTTCGGCCGTCCGGCTCGCTTTGAGGGAAGACGGACCAGATTTCGCTCAGTGCCTCGAGATATTCCCACGGGGCTGGTTTTAGGGCTTTCCTGCTTCCAGAACGTAGCAGCTCCTTCTTGACAAGGGGAGGCTGCGGCTGCTTTCCAGGAATAAAATCATGGATTTTCTTTAGGATGTCGGCTCTCCTTGTGTCAAGCAGACATTTCCCGGTGGCTCTGTCATTAAGGACTCTAGCTCCCGATGGGTCCTTGAGGTGTCTTCCTCGCCGCCACCCCACAGCCGTGCAGCCCACGAGCTGTTTTCCTCGGTGGTAGAAATACATTTCTTGAAACCCATTAAAATGTCATTCTCTGAAAGGATGCAGTCTGCTGACAGCCAGAGTGTTTCACTTCAGCTCTCTACGTTAGAGATGGGCGCGAACCTGAGTTTGGAGGTGTGTGTCGGTTTGTCCCTTCTCCCACCTCCCTGGCCAATGACCCACTCACTAGCTGGCACATGCACCTCTCCTTCGCTTTGGTTGTTTGACCAGGAGGAGGAGGAGGAGAGTGTGTGCTGGCTGGTGAGTGGGGGAATTCAGCCAGGGAGATGGGCGAAAGGAACGTGTGGCACGTAGGGGTCCATGTGTACAAACTGGCACGAACCTCCGAACCGAGGTTCGTGCCCATCTCTATTCTGCATCACAGTCCCACTGTGTTACATTATATGACTCCAGAAGGCACCACAATGATGGTTTTGACTCACATTTTTTTACTTAAAATATCCCTGCCTTTCTCCTTAAAAAAGACCCAAGGCGGTTAATGTCATTAGAAGGTAATATTTGAAGCTTAAACAATAAGTAAAGGATCAAATCCACTTTAAGAAACGGTAAGCAAAAGCAATACCAGAAATACATTCAAAGCAGTAAGGCACACAATCCATTTAGAACCCCAGTCAGGCACCCTGTCACTGAGGGGGAGCTTGCCGGACGCTTGTCTTTACTTTCCTGCAGAGGGACAGGAAAGATGGGACCAGCCTGGGAAAGCTGGCTGGAATGCTCAGCAGTTTAGGTCTCTGGCTATGGAGCCAGAAGTTGGGGGGCTTCAATTCCTGGGTTGCCGTATAAGTCAGAATATGACTTGATGGCAAATTATTAAAAGCGTCCAGAACTTGTCAATTTACATGTTAAGTTGACACAACTAATTGCCACTCACAAGGTGCTGGTAGTGTTTCCAGCTGTGTGCCTGACTGGTGGCATGTTTAAGAACGCCATCAAGCACTCTAACGATGAGCGACAATTAGCTTCAAAGAGTTCCACAGTTTCTGTTACGCAAATGTAAAAGCACCAACTGGATTCTGACTGTTCCTGTTTAAACTACCGTTCCCCAGGACACACCCAGTGAGTAGGGACAGAAGCGACAACAGCAGAAGCCAAGAATCTGCCCTTCCATGTTGTCACACCCGAACTCTTCCCATAAATGCAATACGTTCCAGCTGTACTTCTTTAGTCCGTACAGGCTGGTCTTTCCACAGACTGTACCAATTGCTGGCGTGTGTCAAATGAGTAGGGACGGCAGGTCTTGCTCAGCTGGTCAGTGAAATGGCTTGTGTCGGAGGCATACCTTGGTTCGGTCAGGAAATGATCAGTGCCTTCACTTATGTGGCCAGCTTGAGATATGGATTGCCCAAGGCCAGCTTATACCTGTTCCACCTGTATAGAAATCGACTAGAGCAACAGTTGAGTTTTACTAAGTATGAGCCCACTGCACAGGGGAGTTACTTGCAAAGCAACTTACGGAGGGACAGATGCAGGGAGATTGCTTAGTTTTTTTTGGAGTCTTGTGACACAGTGGTTAAACTGCAGTACTGCAGCCACCTCACAACCAGAGTTCAATCCCAGTGGCCTCAAGTAGATGGCTCAAGGTTGACTCAGATTTCCATCATTCTGAGGTTGGTAAATTGAAGTACCCAGGTCTCTAGAGGGCTAATGTGTAGTCTGCATAATTAAATTGTAAACCACCCAGAGAGTACTTTAAGCACTATGGGGTGATATATAAGCATCATACTTTGCTTTTACGTACTTTGGTGGCACCCTAAGCGCTAACATTTTTTATTTCAGGGACTGCAGTTTATTTCTTCCGGTGATTCATTTGTAAAGAACAGCCTGCAGCCCACACACAACCCTATCAAGCAACACTTGTTATGACCCTGTCCAACCATCTCATCCTCTGTCGTCCTGTTCTCCTCTTCACACTTTCCCAATATCAGGGTCTTTTCCAGGGAGTCTTCTCTTCTCATGAGATGGCCAAAGGATTGGAGCCTCAGCTTCAGGATCTGTCCTTCCAGGGAGCACTTAGTGTTGATTTCCTTCAAAATAGATAGGTTTGTTCTCCTCGCAGTCCAGGGAACTTTCAAGAGTCTCCTCCAGTACCACAGTTCAAAAGCATTGATTCTTCGGGTGTCAGCTTTACTTTGATGCCCCCTTCCAACTCCATGATTTTGTGATTCTATCAAAAATTGATCACGGAATCTGAAGCACAGGACTTGTGGAGTGCGAGATGCCAGAAATAATTGGAATGTATACTATGCCAGAGGAAACATGGTGTGCACAGCGCGAAAGTGGCCCAATGGTGTTCTGTAAAAAGAAATTCCAGCCTTTTCCGAGGTTATCCTTGTCCTTGGTTGTTACAAAGCCTGATCACAAAGAACACCTGAGGCCATTCTGGGAACTGGAACGGGTCTCCACGCTCAATTAAGTCTCTTTCCCCTTTCCAAAATCAGCCACGTTTGAAGGTGGAGGAGGAACTCCAGAGCCTCCCTCCTGGCCATGACGAGAGAAGCCTTTGGGTGCTTAGAAAGTTATAAAGATGGAAGGGTCCCCCAAAGGGACAGCAGGTCATCAGAAGAGGCCAGTCTCGGAGTACATCAGCAAGCCGTTCCACGTCTCTAAGATGTGGAAGAGAGACGTTGTGTTTTGCTTCCTCTGCGTTCTCTCCCTGCTTGGAACTCAGAGCTCCAGTGCCGAATGTATTGGATGTACCTACAACCCCGAAGATCCGTGCTACATCAGCAACTGCCCACGAGGAGGGAAGAGAGCCATTGCTGACGATGTGAGTCTATTGCCTGTGTACACATGTCTGCATGTAAGAATGTACAAACTAGTGGGTCTTTGCTATTTTCCCGGGAACAGACATGTCGACACCCTCCCCATGAAACTTCTTTAACTATGAGATTTAGGCTAGGCTTCATTCAAACTGTCTTTGAATAAGATGTGTCACTCGGACCCTCTCAATCCTCGATTTTGTTTGTTCAGTGTGTGTTTGTTTATTTGTTTATTTTAAAATATTTTCACCCTGCCTTTCTCCTGAAAAGAACCCAAGACATAAAAAAGGTCTTTGCCTGCTTGCAGAAGGA